ACAGCCTTTTGGTTGTGAGACCAGCAGTCTAACCACTAGACCAACGATGTGGTTAGGCTACCGGTCTCGTAATCGTGAGGCTGTGGGTTCGGGGGTTCCCGCCAGCCGCGGGCCCGACGTTGTGTCCTTGGGAAAGGTACTGTACACGAATTTTCCTCACTTCACCCAGGTGAAAATAGGTACTTGGCCATAAACAGCGAAAGATCATGTCAGTATGTTAGAGTTTTAGTGCTTATAAAAGGCTGTTTGCAGCTTCCAGGAAGTTGAGGTTATTTCAGAATGCTCCCAGGTCTTCTGGGGTAATAGTATAGATTGTGAAGCGCATAGAGCTTGCTGTTGAGCTGGGATTTGCGCTAAACAAGATCTATTATTATCATTGTCATCATCATCATCGTCGTCGTCATCATCATCATCATCAGGGCGGTTCGTCCATAGAGCACGGTCGTGCAGTGCTGCCCACAATGTTTTAATGTTCTATGACGTAAAGCACCCACAATAATAGAATAAAAGACGCCAGGAACAAACACTAGCCAAATATTAGATCAAAACAAGGCCCTCGCTGGCGCTGTAACTGTCATTTCTATTCTATAGCGTCGTAAAAATCTACTATGCCATTCCTAAGTTCATGCGCTGTATCTAAACATAACAGGATAGTCAACAGTGGAAACCTGACCTATAAATGGCTCTTTGGGATAACCCAAGCGATGACGACACTTGTAGTGAGTTTGGCGGTACATTAATATTAATAAGACGGCACATCTCAAATGTGCTCTTGCTGCATAGCGTCGAAACATAGCCCATGGTAGGCAATCTAAAAATAAACACCATAGACTGTGCACTATTCCATGCCAAAATTATGTGGGCCCCGGAGCAATCCAGCGGAGTGCTCAAGAGAATTGTGATTGGTTCATTGTCTTGTCGCTATTTTAAGTGACTCTGTGACCGTGAACCTGAGGGAGGTAAACGTGACATACTTAAGTCACCGTCCTATGAGTTGTGCTTTTGAACGGTTTTGTAGTGGAGTGGTGAAAGGTATTACTTGAGTGTTCAGTTCTAATGCAGGATGAATGAAATTGAAGTTTAGCTAACAAACAGATTTAGTTCTAGAAGTCAAAGCCACAAGTAAAAAGAATGAAAATAAAAGCACTAGTTCTTCCTGCACCGACCCAAAGATCCTAAAATTATTCACCATCCCATTTACTCTGCCCTTGATTATCTTCAGTCTAAGAAAGCTCAATTGTGCACGCCCACTTTTTAGACCCACGAGCCGCCCCTGATCATCATCATCATCATCATCCTTATTACCATTATTATTATTATTATTATTATTATTGTTATTATTATTATTGTTGTTGTTGTTGTTGTTGTTGTTATTATTATTATTATTATTATTATTATTATTATTATTTATTACTACTACTAAAAGTACACAATTGTGTCACCACGTGGCGGAATCGGGCGCACGTCAATTTTTTGTGCATGTAGAGTTATTGGTATTATCTCAAAGCTTGTTAATTTTTCTTGCTTTTGATGAAAAAAATACCTATCTATCTTGAGAAAAAGTGAAGATATTTGTGATTGAAAGAGATAAGTTCACTTGGTTTCAGCGGTAAAAATAGCGAGAAAATGGCCACAAAAGTTTGGTAACTTAATTAGCTAAAGAGTCCTTGAAATCTGAAAAATTACATATTTGGAGTTTTTATTCAACGCTTTTTAATATAATTCACATGGAAATGTGTTTTTATTTGGACATAAAAGGGTTGGACCAAAAAAAAAATAAGATTAAAATTGCGAAACTGGTGGGAAAATGCCTGTTGCTCCAATTTTGTTATTTTGACGAGCGCCTGATTTCACTCCGATGCCTCACAATTACTCTGTCAAACTCTGACTCACCCAATGAAGACGAGGCAGCCTATGGTAGCACCCAGGACCAACAGCTGTTGAGCGAGGGCAGACTGGGACTTCTGCATCACCCGATGAAGGTCATTCTGAGAAAAAGGTATTAAAAAGTCATAAAAAAGTGATTAAATGCTAGGTTAATTTTAAAAAAAAAGATTTCAGGCTGTAGTCTGATGATTGTATGTGTTCAACACCACTTGACAAATGGGGACGTGCTGTTTTGAAGTGTTTTTTTTCTCAAAAAGATCCATAACTTCGTTATTCGTGTAGATTTTTCGATTCTTTTGCAGTTGTCTACAACTTTAATGAGGAAAGCAAAAAAAAAAAAAAAAGAATGAAAAGCTCAAGTCTCTGATTTGTGCATGATGATTTCGAAAGTGCAGCAACATTGCCTTTTATGTGCTGATGGTCGGACAGAATTATGTGGGCGCTACGTCTTCAAAGAGTTAAAAGGTGTGGCCTAACAGTTTCAAATCCTCCTGCAAAAAGACCAAGTTAAGTATGGGGAGAACAATGAAAACCCAACGAACGCTAGACTCCCTGGCCTAAAAACCACTCTCCCCCCCCACCCCCGAGTTTTCAAGAAAAATTCAAGAAAAGCAGGCATGCTAGTTAGTATTGCATAAGTACTCCTGCAAAACACATAAAGTAATAAATTTGTTCCCACCCTCCTATCTCCAATACTGCTGTTTGGTGTGTCAACCTGTTTGTCTGTCTACTTCTGGGTAGATGCGTGGGAAAAAAAGGTTACCCCAAACCCTGAAATATCCAGGTCTCGGGGCAAGGACATAATTTGGTCGCTTTTATGGACAAGCGGGCTACCCAGATTTTGACCCACACTAAAAGTGTGAATTACCCTACCAATAGGAGAAGTGCTCTTTGTCTTTTTAAAAAACTGAACAAGGCTAGGGGCAAAAACTTAACCTTCGATTTTCTCAAAACAGCATCAGGATAGCTCCCTTATGCTAAAAGCGACCATTTTAGCTGCACCTCATTATATCGGGGTCAGGAGTCCATTAGCTTAAGACATTAATTCTTCTTGAGGGTCACCTGTCTCAGTATGGGTGGTTAGCGGGTGCTCTGGTGTGGTTTGCTCCTTCTTTCTTACCAAACATCTGTCGTCCTGATCTCTCCTCCTTCCTTTTTATGTTTGTTACTCTCTCGTAACACCTCTAATCTTCGGCACATATATGGCCTTATTGTGTTGCAATTGCTGTTAAACTCTTACTAACTAAACAAAACCTGTCTCAGATGACTACTTTTCTCCTCAACAATGGATGATAGTCTTCATCAGGTTCAGCTGTACTTGCATTCCATCATCATTATCCGGTGCCTTGCCGACTGGCGTGGGCGATCATGGACATCTACTCCACTCTGTACTAGCATTTACATCCACTAAAAATAGTCGCAGCACTTTTCAGGATGTAGATACTTAAATTTTGCAGTTCACATTCTTGGCATAACACTTTGAACCTTGTGGAAACAAAAGCTAAGAACTTACAAACATATTCTGCATGGCAGTTTTGGCAAGCAGGCAGTTGAAGAATACAGGGATGAAGAGATGACGGAGGGACCCAATGATCTGAAAACAATAAGGACATCATAAATTCCAACAACATCTACATTCTCCTACTTGGATGAGCTGTACATAGCAGCTTGTACTAAAAAAAA